GAACTAAAACTAAAAACTACCATATGATCTAGCAATCTTCCTTCTGGGTATATATCCAAAAGATGTGAGCTTAGTATGTTCAAGAGATGTCTGTACTTCCATGTTCATTGCAGCATCAATCACAAGAGCCAAGATGTAGAATTGACCTAAGTGTCCCTCAATGGATAAAGAAAATGTGGTATATATACACAATGGAATTTCATTAAGCCTTTAAAAAGAAGGAAATCCTGCCATTTGTAATAATGTATATGGACCTGGAGGACATTATGTTAAGTGAAATACCCCAGACACAGAGACAAACACTGCATGATCTCATTTATATGTGGAACATAAAAAAAAAAATGGAACCTATAAAAACAAAGAGTGGAAGAGCAGTTACCAGGGCCTGAGGGTGGGAGAAATAGGGAGATGTTGGTCAAAGGGTACAAACTTGCAGTTATTAGATGAATCATTCTGGAGACCTAATGCACAGGCCTAGTGACTGTTGTTAATAGATCTCAAGTGTTCTTGCCACACATGCACACACACATATAAATGGTCACTATGTGAGATAATGGATATTAGCTTGATTTTAATAATCTTTTCACAATGTATGCATATATGAAAACTCATATTGTACATTTTGAATATATATAATTTTTGTCAATCATTTCCTAAAAGAGCTCTTTTAAAAAAAAAAAAAAAATCTCCTTTCCAGGGTGAGGGCCTCTGCCTAATGACTCAGGGCATCTTTTCCTGGCCTTTATCCCTGTGTCTTCTCTTGGAAAGGAGACAGTGCAGCTTGGAGTGAGCACCCATTAGTGAATCACAAGGGTAATCCATTATGTTAACAAAAAAATGAGTGACAAAATGAGTACTTCAAATCTAAAGTAGTTTAAAGCTTTTGTACCTTGAGTTCAATAGGAAATGCCTTAGAAATAAGTATTTCAACCTCTTTAAAGACTTTTTTTTGGCAGTAGGAATGATTGAATGTTAGTGGAAAGGGATTACTTAAAAAAAATCACTGTGTTTAGAGCTTGTCCACTTCATTGAAGTCCCAAATACAGTGTATTACAAATCAACTGAGTTCATGATTTCTCTTGCAGTCTAGCTGAGGATTCAAGCCAGACTGGAGAAACATAACCAAATACATGGGCAGTATATGAGGGTGCCCTCATTAATGTTAATGATATTGTCCACTAGAACTCTCTGCCATGATGGAATGTTCTATATCTGTGTCATCCAATATAGTAGCTACTAGCCACATAGAAAGCACTTGATATGTAGCTAGTTTGGCTGAGGAATTGAATTTTAAATTTTATTTAATTTTCATTGATTTATACATCAATAACCATATGTGTCTAGTGGCCACAGTATTGGACAGTGCAGGTAGGTCATTCTTTCTACTTTGTCAGCCAGAGTGTGACCATTTATGTCACTCTCAAGAATTCAGAGTCAAGAAAAAATACTGTGGGTTGGAGTAAGAAGGGAAGATTATTGAAGGCTTGGGGACTTTATTTTTTTAAAATATATTTTTAGTTGTAGACAGACACAATACCTTTATTTTATTTATTTATTTTTATGTGATGCTGAGGATCGAACCCAGTGCCTCACATGTGGAAGGCAAGTGCTCTACCACTGAGCCATAACCCCAGCCCAGGCTTGGGGACTTTATAAAAAAGAGAGGAGACATGTGCTAGGCTGGGATATCCAAGATCTGGTCATGAAACAGTGCGTAGCTTGGCAGAAGCACATAGCTCCTGTAGGGAGTATAAAGAATTCAGGGAGATTGGTGCTGATTTGTGAAAGTCCAGGAGTATCAGTGTGAAAATTAACTTGAAGCCCAAAAGGAGCTAATAGGATAATTCCTGTCATCTAGGACATCTTATACAAATACCATGCTCATTCCGGGCTTTTCTATAGAATGGATAGTTTAGGAAGATTCACCTGGCATGGGAGCTTGAGGAGAGGAGAGAAAAGACTACAGGCAGGGCACATGGGTGAGGATTCTGGGAGCTTCCAACTTCAAGTTAAGGAGCTGGGCCAGAGCAGGAGTCACAGTAACTGCTGATTTGACTGGGAAAGTGGAACAGTCAACAAGATTTAGTGACTAGATAGTCAAGAATCAACCAGCAAATACCTATTGAGCCCTTCTACATACCAGGTCCCAGTCTAGACTTGAGGATACATCAGTGAAAGAGCAGATCAAACCCTTGCCCTGGTAGAACTTGTAGTCTAGTGAGGAGTGGAGGTAGGGGGCTGTTAAAAAGCTGGACTGTTGATCTGAGGGGAAATGTAGGTGAACTCTGGTGACGTGGGAGATCAGATCAATGTTGTGGAATCGAGGCCAAGAAGGCTAACAACATGAACATATGCACACACGCCACTCCACTCATTTCCACCTTTTCTTTTTGGTACTGGGGATTGAACCCAGGGGCACTTTACCACTGAGCTATAGCTCCAGCCCTTTTTAAAGTTTGAGATGGGGTCTTACTAATTTGCTGAGGCTGGTCTGGAACTTGCAATTCTCCTGCCTTGGCCTCCCAGATTGCTGAAATTACAGGCATGTGCCACTGCGCCCAGCTTCATTTTTACCCTTTATGAAGGTTAAACCTCAAACAATAATTTGTCCATGCCAGCCAATCAGAGGTATCTCTCCTGTCTGTTTGCTATATCTTGTCCCTGTTCTTGCCCTGCTTGCTGTGGAGGCCCCCTGCATGGCCCTGGCTTTCACTGTGTGTCCTCCACACCCTTGTAGGCTCTTAGATGGCATTTACCTCATCTTAAAGCACATTCATGCCATTCTGTGACTCCTACACCTTCTGTTCCCTTTCTGGCCTTGGGCTGGCTCTTCAGCATGACAGCCAAGGACTTTGATGGTCTGAAGCCAGTGTGCCCTGCATTCCTCACACCTGGATTTCCATCCAAGACACAGTGTGTATGTACATGGACACGATGTGCTTATTTGGGGTATTTTCTTTTCTTTTGAATAGCCACTGCTGCCTCTTCCTTGTGTACTCCCCTCTGGTGCTTCTTACAAATCCCAGGTGAAATGCTACTCAGAAGGGGCTAAATGATACCTTTACCATAGGCTAAAATGGGAAGCTAGAGTGCCCTGGATACTACACCTAATGAAGCACAGGCAGCAAATAATAAGCATTCAGACTATTGACTAATGTTGGTTAGGAATGAAGCTGTAAAATCTTAAAATATTAGAGTGGCTAATTTAACAGCATTAGAGAATAATCAATCATGACTGGATACTGTGTTATTGTGGGAATTGAATCAATTAACACATATTGACTGAACAAAACATAGAGACCCCATAGATGCTCCAAAGACAGTTTATAATATCCACACCCTGGTGATCTCAGTCTCTCAGTCTCATAACAAACTAAGAAGACATTGGTACTTTTTTATTTTTATTTTTTGGTACTGGAGATTGAATCCAGGGGTGCTTAACCACTGAGCCACATCCCCAGTATTTTTATTTTTTCTTTTGAGACAGGGTCTCATTAAGTTCTTAGGGCCTCACTGAGTTGCTGAGCTGGTGTTGAATTTGCAATCCTTCTGCCTTGCCCTCCTGAACCACTGGGAATATGGGTGTGCGTCATGAGTCACACCTGGCTAGACTAATACTTCTTTTTTTCAGGGTTGAGTCCAAAGACCAAATTCGGGGCCTTATGCTCTGCAACTGAGCTAAATCTCAAATGCCTGATCATTCTTTTTTTTTTTTGGTACTGAGGATTGAACCCAGGGGTGCTCAACCACTGAGCCACATCCTCAGCCCTGTTTTTTTTTTTTTGTATTTTATTTAGAGATAGGGTCTCACTGAATTGCTAAATGCCTCACTAAGTTGCTGAGGCTGGTTTTGAACTTGTGATCTTCCAGCCTCAGCCTCCTGAGCCGCTGGACCTGATAATTCTTAAACAAGGGAACGAGTATTCTCCCCCCCCTTTTTTTTTTCTTAAAATTTCTGCACAGGAGATTGAACTCGGGTCCTTGCACCTACAAGACAAGTGCTCTACCACTGAGCTACATCCACAGCCCTTTTAAAATTTTATTTTGAGACAGGGTCTCATTAAGTTTGCCCAGGCTGTCCTTAAACTTGGATGGGGATGGGAGCCTGGGCTTTTGCTCCACTGGCTGCCTTTGAGGGTCTTTAAGCTACTGGGGCTGTATGTGTGTGAGTGTGTGTAAATGACAGCAGCCACCTTGACTGACACACCCAGTATACACTTAAGTTCATTAGGTTAAAAAGAAAACCCCTGGAGTCTCAGTTTAGGGTAGGATAATACAGCGATCTTTTGAAGGGCTTATACAGTTGAAAAACATTCATTATTACTATTTTCTACATTTTGAAGGGGAAATGGTTCCATAGCATTCTGATGTGTTCTACAGAAAGTAAAGCTTGGCAATTTTGGCTCCCAGCATGAGTTAAAAATAAAAAAGATTGAAAAACATTGTTCAGAATGTTGTTTTCTAGAACCAAGATGTTAGGCCGGTAGACCTGAGGCCACCCCTCAGTTAGGAGCAGAGCGACTGACTCTTGGTCCTGTGTTCCTTCTGTTCCCTCGAGGGTCATTCCTTCAAAAGGCACAGTGAGTGCTGGGAGGTGACTTAAAGACAAGTGTCTGCTTTTGAAGTCTGTTCCTCACTGGTTATTGAATAACATGAAATAAGGGTTGAAATTGGAAATGACGCCAGGACTGAGTAGTTGGGGGGAGAAAACAAGGAACTGAGTTATTCTTCTGGAAAAGTGGAGTGATGGCCTTGCTTTGACACTCCAGGATTCTTTTCAAGTCCCTGACACCATCTTTGTGGTCTTGGGTGTACTCACACAGTTATTTGGGGTCTCTCTCTTTTTTTGTATGGTGTTGGACTTTGCATATGCTAAGCAAATGCTCTACCACTAGCCCCATCTCCAGCCCCATTTTTAAAAATCTTAAAATCAGATGAGTCAGGAATTTAAAGTAATTTTAAATATACTCAGTGAAGAGAGTCAGTACTCAAAGAGGGGAGACATGTCTAAGAATTTCTTTATTGACAATAAGTGGATCTCACAGCCAGATCATTATAATTGTGAAGAATTCAACCGGAAATCTGAGGATTCCATGTGAGTTAGAACCAGGTGCTCTTCGTTCAGGGCTCAGGATGCTGTTTTGTTTGCTCCTTCATTGGGATATCTTTTTTACTAACACTTGGAATTCTTCGAAACTAACTTCTCCATCTCCATTCTTGTCCAGCTCTTTAAAGAGGTCGTCGATAGTGCTTGAACCCTGGTTTCAGACAAAAAGGAAGACATGTTGGGGGGGGGGGGAGATGAATCAGATACTGCTACACATTCTCTGAAATTAGCGAGACTGAGTGTTCTTTTCAAGAAGGCTGCCTGAGTTTCCAGTCATGTGCTATTGATGGTTAGGTGTGGAAAAACCAGCTTTAGGTTGGTCCATGTCACAGTACCTTTCTTTTTTTTAACTGTATCACATTTAATATTTAATAGAATAATGTGTATTTTATGTACTTTAAAAAAATGTGATCTTATGACATTTTCTTTGTGCCCCAAAAATATTCCTCAGAAAAGGGGTCCATGGGCTTTACCAGACTACCCCTGACCCACAAACATTTGAGGACCTCTGCTTCAAGCTTTTTCTGGGAGCTGGTTTTGTCTCTGGCTCTAAGCCTGTGGTTGCCATATAACCAGAGGCAGCAGGCAGTGAGGACTAGCTGGCCCATATTGCCTCTGGGTCAAGTGAGGCTTTTAGTAGCCTGTGTTATCCTCTCAGCCACTCTATAGGGGAGACCTACTTTATAGGTGAGGAACCTGAGGTTCAGAGACAGCTGCTAATTTGCTCCAGCATGCACAGTAGTTAGCAGAGGGCTTGGGCTAATTTAGAAAAAGATAGGAAGATTAATAGTAAGTTTTGAAAGTCTGCTTACATATACCTGATTATATTTACTAAGATTTTCCATCTATACTCTGTATTATTATCAACTTATATGGTTTGGAATTTAGTAAATGCTTTGCATTTATAAAGCAGATGTTGAATAACTAACTTAAGAGTTTGGCCTTGTGATTCCCCAAAGGGTCAAGTGTCTTTGTAGGACTCTTAAGGATTAAAATATACCCAGCCTGGAGAGATCTGTTGTATAGCAAAGTAAATAAACTCAGCACTACTGACCTGTCCATTTAAAAATAGTTAATACGGTAAATTAAATGTTGTTTATTTTTTTATTTATTATTTTTTTTTAAAATAGATCTGAGTTTTCTTTTTTTTAAGAGAGAGTTTTTTTAATATTTTTTATTTTTTGGCAGACACAACATCTTTGTTTGTATGTGGTGCTGAGGATTGAACCTGGGCCGCACGCATGCCAGGCGATCACGCTACCACTTGAGCCACATCCCCAGCCCCAAATGTTGTTTATTTTAACCACTATTTTGTGTATACATACCTATAGATATAGAGAGACAGCCAATGTCATTTGAAGTTGACACAAACTTAACAGTTATTTCAATAGGCTTTCTAAGTATTATTTGGCCACAAATAGACTCCCACCTAAAATTCCAAGTAGTAAATGGTTTTAGGATTTGAGCTTTATGGCAGAGACAAAAAAAAATAAGTCTGCTTAGGATACAGGAATACCAGTAGTCACAAAGCCTGAACATAAGCTCATGGGGCATCTCAAGCAGCAGTTATCAAGCCTGGTCCTGGACCAGCAGCATCAGCCCCACCTAGGGACCTGTTGAAAATACAGATGTTAGGCCTTCCACAGGACTAGTGAATGATAAACTCTGACCCCCATGAAGCTAGCCATCCATCTGTGCCTACTAAGGTCAGGAAGCCCATCAGGCAACTCTGATGCATGCTAAAGCATGTCAGCCTGAAGCCGGGTTTTCTTAACACATTCCCAAGGAAGTGTTGGTTTTGTTGAGGGCACTACATTAAAAAAAATGAAGCACATTCCAGGCCAGTAAATATTATTTTGCAGTCCTCTTTGTATTCCTAAAGCCTGGCACAGAGGTGCTGAAACCAGGCTGAAGGCCTTAGTGGATCTGCATGGTGACTTGTGGGTCTTGCAGGCATAGCTTGGCCAAAGCCATTTACCATAGAGAGTTCTGTGCTGAGGCCGTGGGAGGGGTAGAAGGCTGGGCCCCTGTTTTCAGGGAGTTTGCCTGACTTTAGGGAAAGTGCCTGCACTGGGCTCCTTTTCCTCCTCCGCCCCTCCCACCATCTGAAGATCATTCAACAGCTCTGTAGACCTGTACTCACTTTGAGCAGAGTAGGGAATTCAGTCTGAATCAATAGCTTCAGTTCATCCTTCGACAGTTGGTCCGGATCACCTTCTTTGGCTGCATATTTTTCAAAAATGCTCTTTAGTTCTTCGGGAGACTTTTTACAACTCATTTTGGAGTCCTGGAAATTTGGAAGGAAATTAACTTACCAAAAAATTCAAATGGAGTTTTATGCTGAGTGTTATCAGCAGAATTTTAGTTCTACTGGGGCTTTTCCTTGGCCCAGATGGGAGAATAAGAAGAAAGAGAGGAGAAGAGAGGGTCAGGGTGGGAATATGGGAATGGCACTAGTAATCATCAATTTTTTTTTAAATACATGTTAGTTGTAGATGGACACAATACTTTTATCTTATATACTTATTTTTATGTGGTACTGAGGATTGAACCCAATGCCTCACGTCTGCCAGGCAAGTGCTCTACCACTGAGCTACAACCCTAGCCCCTGTCAATGGATTTTAAAAATAATCTTTGGGCTGGGATTGTGGCTCAGCGGTAGAGCGCTTGCCTAGCACGGGCGGGACCCGGGTTTGATTCTCAGCACCACATAAAAAAAAAGGCTGGCTCGCGCTCACGCTCTCTCTCTCTCTCTCTCAAAAAATAATAATCTTAGAGCTAGGGATGTAGCTCAGTGGTAAAATACTTGCAAATTTAAGTGCATAACAGAAATTAGCACAAGTTTAAATGCTTTTGAAATATAAATGGGTACAAGGCCCTGTTTTTGATCCCCAGCACTGCATAAAACAAACTTAGATAGTATGTTAAATGTCTGTTCTTAGAATACATTTGTTAGGAAATGATCTCTGGAGATAAACATTTTTCTTAGTAATTAATAACATTCCCCTCTCATGTCCACGGTCTGTGCTCTAGGCTGCAGTCTTGAAGAATCTCTGACCATAGCTTCTAGCCTCTAAGTTACTGGTAATATCCTTAGATGGCAAAAACCCACTTTCTCTCCAGCTTACTTACTTGAACACCATTCTTAAAGGAAGCAAAGTATTCCTGTAAGCAGAAGGAGCTCTAGATGGGACTAAAATCACACTAACCTGGTCGCCTGACTGCAGCTGCTGGAAGAATCAGAGATGCGTGAAGAGTTGGGAAGGATCCTGTGACTTTTATAGTCTTTAAAGACACACCACCCTGATTATGAAATTTTCCTTTTGTTTGCCATTTAAGGGTAATTATTAATGGTTTTTGAAACCCAAGCTTAAGTCTGCATAAACCTGTTAATTAAGGGCAAGATCCAATAAAGGGCCACCTCAACAGTTAATTGATTAATGGTTCAGAGTCCCAAGAGCAAACTTGGATTTTTGTCTTCCTTAGGTTGTATTTTCCCTCCAATGTAAAATTAAGATATTTGCTCACAGTTCACATTTCAGATTGAGTTAAATGTGGACGATTGTTTTCAATTTAGTTGCATTCTTGGGCTTGGAAAAAAAAATCACTTTTTTCATATCCAGGAAAAAAAAAATGCTATCACAGAAGGAAAATGTTACATAGTTGTTTTTTTTTTTTAAAGAGAGAGAGAGAGAGAATTTTTTTTTTTTTAATATTTTTGGTTTTCGGCAGACACAGCATCTTTGTATGTGGTGCTGAGGATAGAACCGCACGCATGCCAGGCGAGAGCGCTACTGCTTGAGCCACATCCCCAGTCCCTGTTACATAGTTTTAAAAATTTTAGCAGGGCTGGCGTTGTGGCAGTGGTAGTGTGCCTCAGTGGTAGTGTGCCTCGCCTAGCAAGCATGAGGCCCTGGGTTCGATCCTCAGCACCACATAAAAGCAAATAAAGGTATTGTGTCCAACTACAACTAAAAAATAAATATTAAAAAAAATTTTAGCAGGGCCATTCACCATTAAGCTCTAATAAAAAAAAATTTAGTATGGCCCTTGAAGTCTCCACTTATGTCTTGGACAAGACAGTTACTTAAATATTTCAATACATGAATGAATGAATGGAAGTATTGCTTCAGAAGCACTTTTAAGATATGGGAAGAAGATACCTAATAATTTGGGGTTTCATTTGGCAAAGCAAGATTACTGAGTAACATGGTCATTTTTCAACTTTTCCATTATTTGTTGATCCCATTGTCTGCTTTATTTTTCTCATTAGCCTTTTCCTTATCAAGTATATTTTGGGAATCATTCTACAAACTTACAGAAATACTCAGCCTACCCTAATACAATTGGAAATCCTTCAAACTTTTTTGGAACTGCCAGGATTTAAAATTGTAGACAAAATTGATTTATATTGGAAAGAGTTCCATGAAATAACTAGGCCATTTCCAGGGGACATTGATCTAATACTGATCATAAGTCACAGGAAGGGGTTCCGGGTCGACTTTAAAAGCACTTAACAGCTTTTAAACACTTGTACACTTCCACACTGGTATAATTTTCTCTGACCTGCATTATATCACCTACAAATTGAGGCTTGAACTATCAGATTGTATTTCTCCCTGATGCTTTTCAGCTGTAAAAATCTAGAGCTGTCTTTACATTGGAGAACAAACGTGAAATCTTAAAGAGTTCCTTAAAAGCTTCCTACCAGTCTTGAGTATTTATCATTCCATGTGTCTTCTCTGTCTTGCATGTATTATTATTTTTATTACAGATTATTGAAGTCTGGTTTGCACCAGTATAGAATATGTGTTCATTCACTGGTTGGAGTTAAGACAGGCATTGTGTTTTTAGTGCATTTTGTTTTTAGTTGTAAGATTTTACACAAAAATATTCTGATTTTGACAGTGCTTTTTAAATTGAAATTTTAGAAAATTTCTGATGTTTTTATGTGTAGGTTCTGTTCTCTTAGGAAGAAGTCGGCTTTTGTGAATAACCATATCAAGAGCTATCTTTTTTCTCCAACATCTTTTAAAAATATTTTGAGTCTATAAAAAAGTACAAGAATAGTACAGCGAACTCTAGTCTACCTTTTGACTAGATTCATTAATTGCTAATATTTTCATGTTTGCTTTCTCTTTCTCTGGACCAACCCCTCTCCACCATGAGCCATTTGAGAATCAGTTGTGAACATTTACGTACTTACCCCTAAATGCCTCAGCATGTGTCCCCCCCACCCCCGCCACAAGGACATGCTCCCACATAGTTGCAATGCCATTATCACAGACTATATTCAAATCTCTCCAATTATTGAAACAGAATCTTAAGATTATCTGTCCCCTCAAATGATCACTGTGAGCTACAGTTAGTTGATGGGGTGGTTATTATATTTCTCTTCTAGTATGTATATTGAAGAATATGATTGTAATAATTATCTAACTTTTTTTGTGGTTGTGGGAGTTGAGCCCAGGGCTTCATGGATGCTGGGCAAGTGTTCTACCCCTGACCTACACCACTAGCCCAATAAATATAGAATCTTTTTTTTTTTTTTTCGTGGTCCTGGGGATTGAACTCAGGGCCTTGTTCATGCAAGGCAGGCACTCTACCAACTGAGCTATATCCCTAGCCCCTATAATCTTAATAGAAATAGATTATATGACAGATAACATTTTATATAAAGAACACATATAACACATGACACATGGTGTATGACATGTACATATATGTGTGTGTGTGTATAAATACATTCTAAGAAGCACTTTTATCAGTTAACAGTCTTTCAGGTTACAACTTCTCATTTCAAGGAAAGATCCCCAATTAAAATGGGCCCAATGCTGCTTGTCAGAACTTATACAGCAGCAAATGCTAACAGAAATTGAAAAACAACCTGTGGGTCTTTTCAGTTTTGCTTGCTCATTTCCTCCAGTGACACCTCTTTACCCATAGACTTAAATCCATGAGGGTAAGCCTGCAGTCAGAAACACTAAATCCACTAATAGATAGTCTCATGAAACATTAACTAGAAATATATGAAGACAAGCGATAAATGCAGGGTGTGTTCACAAGAGTGCATTTTGAAATGTGAGAAGGGGAAAGAATGACAGGTACAAGATTGGTAATGGAAAAATGGAGAGGCAAAGGTTATTTATCATCTTGCTGCTCAATTGCTTGATCTTTGAACAGACTTAACTTTTCCTTAGGAAAACCAAGAGTAATTTATTTTAAAAGCTCAGGGTGCCACAAACTTCCATAGCCATGTTATTCTGCTCCAAGTGAACAGTATGCAGTGCCTGAAAAAGCCCTTTGAGAAAGAGGGTACAGTGTTAGTACCCAGTCTTTGCAAAGCAGAACACGTGTGGAATGCTATCATGTAATCTTGAAGTTTAAAAGAAACCTTGAATACTAAATTATAGCTATTCCTAAAATCATCTGTCTTCTCAAAAGATCACTTGTGAGCTACAGTTGATGGGGTGGTTATTATATTTTATTATGATAACCACCCCATCAAATGATAAATACTCAAAAGACTGGTTATTATATTATAGTTTGCCTGTCTCCTTATCTGGTGCCTGCCTTCCCTGGACCCTCAGACAGAGTTCACTTTCTTTTCTACTTTTAACCTTTCCCTGGGTTGTGAGTCTGTTGCCTTTGGGCCTGTCTGTGTTCATGCTCAGTGATTGAGTTTTAGAGGCCTCCTGATTATAGCCAATGCTTACTGAGAGTTTATTTTTACCATGGGCACTCCTTTGTCCTAAGCACCCGACTTCTGTGACATCATGAAATCCTCACAGCAATGCTATGAAATGGATGTCTACAGAAACATCTAAATAATGTATTAGCTTCTTATTGCTGCTGTAACAAATTACCACAAACACAGTGGCTTGAAACAATAAAAATTTCTTTAAAAAAAATTTTTTTTGTGGTGCTGGGGACTGAACCCAGGGCCTCATGCATGTGAAGCAAGCACTCTACCAACTGAGCTATATTCCCAGCCCTACAGTACAAATTCTTTCAGTCGTGGAGGTCAGAAGTATAAAGTGGGTTGGTTGGCAGAGCTGTGTTCTTTCTGGATGTTCTATGGGGGAATCTGTTTGCTTTTTTTTTTTTTTTAAAGCTTCTAGAGGCTACTTAGTCTTGGCCCACCCCCCATCTTCCAATCTCTGTATGATTCTGTCATTAAGTTACCTTCTCTGATTATTACCTTTGTGCCTCCTCCTTTTTAGGGCCTACTCGGTTATGTTGAGTTCACCCTCATAATCCAGGATAATTTTCTATTTCATGGATGGGTTCCTTATAAAGGCTGAGTTTAGCCTGTCTCTGTCTCTTTCTCTCCTGTGATGCCTTCTGCCATGTTATGACACAGCATGAGGGCTCTCAAGAGTCTTAACTTATCTGCAAAGTCTTTTGCCATGTAAGGTCATGGATTCTTGGGTTCCAAGGAATAAGATATGGACATCTTTGTGGGGAGGCATTATTCAGCCATCTCCAGGGACTAACTGAAAATGAGTTAACAATGTATAGATTATTTATTTGGGAGGGTGGGCAGAGCAATGGTATTAATTATGGGGCAAAAAGGTGGACTGGATGATATCCCTAAGGCATGGGCTCTTGTGGAATGGGAGGGAGAAGGTGCCTTCAGAAAAGTGTTAAAGGGGTGGTCTTGTGAATCACAGGGTAGTGGGAGGAAGTGGAGGAGCCCTTGGTATTAGACCAGTGTAGCTGAGGTAGACAGCAGGTTAGAATCCATAAGGAGAGCACAGCTAGCTGGGCTCATGCATGAGGTGCTACCTGAGTGCCCCCAGCAGTTTAGATCTGATCTGTAGTGACGGAGGCTGCTGGAGCTAGCTGTGTAAAACAGTATTAGGTAAGTACCATTGACAATAAAGCTAGCCCGTATATTTTTGTACAACTTGAATATGGACCTGTAAAGAATCAAAATCAGAGTAAAGAAGAGAAGGAAGAGAAAAACCAAAGAGTGCTAGGAAAGGAATGGGTTGGGGAATCCTTGTAAATATACTCAGAGAATACTCTAAAATACCTGAGCAAATTGCTTTGCATGTTGCCTGAGATACTGAAGATGGTCTGCTAGACGTGAAGCTTTCCCATTGTCCCCCAGTGAAATATCCAAAGGCAAAGAAAGGAAGGAAGGACAAGAGCTCCATCAGACAGGCCCCATGCACACTGCCATTAGGGGTTGTATCATTAGTAAGAGAATTGAACGTCCTTACACTTTGCTGTTGAAGGTACCTGAGTGCAATAAGGACTTGAACCCATTATACTTTTATTGTGGTTTGAAGAAAAGTTTAGTAAAGGTTAATTAGTATCATATTTATCCTCATGAGGTGCTTTTACATCTCCTAAAGCTTTATTACTTATTGATCCTTTTTTATTCTTTTTATGTCTATGGCTCAATTCCAAGAATGGACAGATCTGGGGAACAGATGACAGCCAGTATTCTGGCCAAATTAGAGGGGCCAAGGCAGTCCTTTTGCAATGGAAGAGGAATTTGCTTTTAGATGCGAAGTCTGGGTTAGTTTGAAAATGTTGGCAACAAATCTATAGCATATTTCAGGTTCTTTTCTTTGATCACCCAGCAATAATAAAATAGTTAGGAGAATGTTCTCCTATCTCTCAGGCTTTTTTTTTTTTTTTTTTTTTTTTTTAATATGAGGGATTGACTCAGGGGCGCTCTTCTACTGAGCTACATCCCCAGCCATTTTGTTATTTTGAGACAGGGTCTTGCTAAGTTGCTTAGGGTCTTGCTGAGTTGCTGAGGCAGGCTTTGAACTTGCAATCCTCCTGCCTCAGCAGCCTGAGCTGCTGGGTTTCAGGCATGTACCACCACACCCAGCTGAGGCTTGTTTTGGAAGGAATGCAAGGAACAAAGATGTTTGGGTTCTTTTTTTTTTTTGCTGAATCAGGTTGCTTATGACCCAAGAGGCTGTCAGGCACATCTTTCGAGCAAATAGTGTTGTTTGATAACTGTGAGGTTCTTTGCCTGAGTAAGACTTGAAAAACAAAAAGGAACAGAAAAACCTAATGGACAGCAGGAAAGAAAGGGGTTGGGGAATTGTTAAGAGTATTGAGGAACACATGAGAAATTCTGAGCAAGTCCTGGGCATCCCTGGATGAGCCTCCTAGAGACACCCAGAGAGACCTGTCCTGTTCCCTCCTTCCCTGGTACCTTTCCTATTGATCCTCTCTGATTTTCCCCTTTCACTGCTGTCCAAGGCATCGTCTGGAGTGGTGGGGGGACTGTTTCCTTTGCTCTCCAATCTCTTTGCACTTTTTCCTTCTCCACTGGTTCCAGTGTTAGCACACTGCAGTCAGAGCAGCACTGTAGATGTTACCCTTTGGGATTTCTTTCTTTGCTCTCATTTTAGGGAAAGGTCATGTTTATTACTTCTGAACACACTGTAGAGAGTGTGAACTAATACCCTCATGTAAGGCCTTAGTAATACATTTCACTCTTTGTGCCTTAAACTTTTATTTTCATTAAAATAATATTATGGGCAAAGCCAACAGTTCTAAAGAACTGTTTCTTCTATAATGAAAGAGTCAGTACTCTTTCCTCACCCTCTCAACCCTTCTAGATGTTTCTCCTGGTATTTGCCTCCAGGTTTCTTTCTTTTTTTTTTTTTTTCCCAATACCCATCTGGGTGTTGTTTTTTTTTTTTTTTTTTTTAAGTTGTTGATGGATCTTTATTTTATTTATTTTTATGTGGTGCTGAGGATTGAACCCAGTGCCTCACACATGCCAGGCAAGTGCTACAGCCCCAGCCCCTTTCTCCTCCAGGTTTTTAAATAACATCCTCACATTTTTCTTTTAGGAATTTAAACATTTTCCCATGTTAGGTGAGTATTTAATGGCCTTAGTATTTAACAGCCTCCATGTCCACTACATTTTCCTTCTTTCCCTCACCACCTCCATACTTTAGTTTTGAAAATGTTTGCTTGTCTGGAGATATCTGTTAACTTCATCCTAAATAAGCACAAAGACAGGTTTCCTCATCTTAGTTGGGTAATTTTATCTATTCTCAATGGTTCAGATCAGAGCATTCTTGAATATCAAATTCACCAATAACGGAACATACTACATTGAAAGACTGTGTGTTCTTGGACTCGGCTAAGTCAGTAAGGTGGGTGAATTGAATGGAGAATTACAGGATCTTTTTTTTTTTTTTTGGTAGTTCTGGGGATTGAACCTAGGGTTACTTTACCAGTGAGTCACATCCCAAGCCCTTTTTAAATTCTTTTTTAATATTTATTTTTTAGTTTTAGGTGGACACAATATCTTTATTTTACATATATGTGGTGCTAAGGATCGAATCCAGTGCCTCATGCATGCTAGGCGAGCATTCTACCACTGAGCCACAACCCCAGTAATTTTTTTCTTTTTGAGATAGCATTTCACCAAGTGGCTTAGGGCCTTGCTAAATTGCTGAGTCTGGACTCAAACTTGCGATCCTCCTGCCTCAGCCTCCCGAGCTGCTGGGATTACAGGCATGTGCCACACAAGTTTAACAGGATGTTAGTAGAGTTTATTGTTGTGGTCTGCCAAGATGGTTTAGATTGTCTTAACTTAAATGGAAGTTAAATGAGATTGAGGCTCTGAATACACTTAGGACTTCCTGTGAGTCCATGACAGGTGGTGTGGTCTTATCTGCCCTTTCCTAGAAAATACTTAGAAAGGCCAGGTGTTCATAAGCAGCTCAGCTTCATAAACTGGAAGCCAATGCCCTCTCTCACCTCACTCCAGTAATACTTAATCTAGCCATAATTAGCCCAGCAAAGAAGATAGGGAAAACATGCCAAGGCCAAGAGCAGTTCCGAATGGAGCACTCCATCCAATGAGGGATATAATCCAGATTTTTCTCCACCCCTTCCCCTCAGTGACTCTTGGAGCTTGCTTGGGACACAGAGTTCAAATGGTTCTAAAAGTTCTGGAGCACTGATAAGATCAGTTGTTTTCTTAGAAAATTCTTACCTCAGGAAATTCTGGTTGTCAGGGATGCCAGTGGAGCAATCAATATGTGACGGTTAGGGTGTGGGGGGAAAAAAGGAAAGGAAGTTTCTATGAGGGAAGCCCAAGCAATTCCATCAGCACAGGTCAATTTACCCAACTGTAATCTGTTATAACAACTTAAAAAAAAGAGATGAACCAAAACCATGAGATCATAGTGAACCCAGAAAACACATGAATTACCAGATTAACAAGAAGAGGTGAAAAACTTAAAAGTCACTTGTTTCTGAATTTCTGTGGTATAACCATAAAGATGAATTTGAAATTTTTCTTTTGAGTTCATTCATTCATTCAGTGTATACCATGTGCTAGATCCACACATGCCAGGGACTAGGAATGCAATGGTGAGAAAAAACAAAACCACCCCAGTCTCACACTCAAAACACCCATCAGACAGACTGAGAAGGGCAGGGACAAGGGAAGAACTTGGGTCTGTGAGGCCATAGAGAGAAGGCCCTCATTAGGCTACAGCTCCTTAATTGGACAAGAGGGTCTGTAGGTGATAAATCAACAGGACTTGACAGATTGGATAGGAGAAAGAGGGAGAGATCAAGGGTGCTACTTAGGTTCCTGATCCACAGAATGTTCTAGAATGGATATTACTTTTTGATTTTTAAGGAATTCTTCTAATGGTTTTCTATAGATAAGATACTTCTGATTTACCTTTCTACAAGGACTGACAGATTTACTTATGGAAAATCTTTAGAGAATGTCTTGCAATGGGTGGCAAGAAGTTTATCCTGGGAGAGACATGAATACCAAAATAGAAGGTCTCAGAAGCCCAGAACTTGAAAAGTGAACATTGCTTGGAACTGACAGATTGAGAAATGATAGGAAAAGGGTCATAAAGATGCTCCTGATAATTTTTTAACAAGTGATTTGAATGAAAGATGAGAAGTAGAGATGAAATGGAAGCGCAGTGTGAGGTGAGTATGAAGGATGGCTGCTTTTGGACAGGAACATCAAGGAACTGATCAGATATTATACGTTGGGGAACATGCTGACCCAATGACCATTTCTCTAAAAGTACAGCTTGAAATTTGGGAAATGATAATTTTACAAAATGGTAAAACTGAATCTGTTTTGTTTCCTAAGGTGATTGACATGCCTGAACACAACCCTGGCAATTTGGGAGGAACAATGAGACTGGGACTAAGAAGAACTGTTTTCAAAACGGAAAATTCAATATTGAGTAAGTTTCCCAGATGGTTTATTTTACAAGACTTCTGGCTGTTCACGTGGCCATGACAGGAACCCAGCCCATTTTGGAGGCTCAGCCCCATCCCTTCCAGCAGCTTCAGGACTTTCGACTCTATCTCTTGCTTGTCCCTTCTCTCTCTCTCTCTCTCTCTCTTTTTTGAGAGAGAGAGAATCTTTTTTTTTTTTTTTTTGTAGATGGACACAACACAATGCCTTTTTTTTTTTTTTTTTTAATGTGGTGCTGAGAATTGAACCCGGGTCCCGCCCATGCTATGTGAGCGCTCTGCCGCTGAGCCACAATCCCAGCCCTGTCCCTTTTCTCTTGCTGGCCCCTCTGCTTTGGGCATTCTTCTCCCTGGCAGGACTTGGTAGAACACAGCATAAATGCTCCTTCTCATTTGAACTGCAAGACACTTTGTTCAGCAAGCTGTTTTGTGAGTTTACCAATGTGCTTGGAGATGAACTTGGACTGGGGGAGAGCGCTCTGATTCAAACTCAATTCTTTTGAATCCACAGTTCTCTCTACTACATTTGTTGCAGTCTGACTGGCCTTGGGTGCCTCATTAATGAACTTCCTAAGGAGGAAGGCTCAGAAGTATATGTCTCAGAAGTATTTTTCTTCTGGGCTGAGGGTATGCCTCAGTGGTACAGAGAATGCTTGCCTATTATGCCCAAGGCCTTGGGTTCCATTCTCCCACACCAGACAAAATAAGGAAGTGATGGCTGTAGAGGGCCCTTTTGTGGGGCAGGCAGTGGGGGAGGAAACATTGATTAGGACAGCCACACAGGGGATTCTGGGATGATTGGCAAAAAGTTCTGTTTATTTGTTTTGTAGTACTGAGATTTGAACTCAGGAGGAGCTCTACCACTGAGCCACATCCTCAGCCCCTTTTTAAAAATTTTAAATATATGTTCCATTGTTCTCTCAGTATCCCAGAGAAGAAAGTTTGCTATTTCTTTGTTCCCTCACTATCCCCAGCAAGGGGGGAGGAGAGTTTGCCCAAGGATCTCGGACACCTAGAGTCATTCCTGTGAAGTTATAAGAATACCTTAGGGGCCTGGTGCTCCGTGGTAGAGTGCTTGCCTAGCATGTGAAAGGCCCTGCTTTGGATCCCCAACCCCACAAAACCAACCAAACAAAAAGAAAATACCTTAGACAAATGCCTTCTTAGCTAATAGGATAAGTAAGACCAGAAATATGAGCTTCTGCTTTAAAAATGAATATAATAGTTCTAAGGAATATAGTTCTTCCTAGCAAGAATGAAATTGAAAACGTTTTGAAATGAATACATTTCTTTCTTTGGCTAAGAAGCATTGTTCTTTAAGTGACTAGCATTTTTCTTTATAAACATAAGATGCTTCCTCTTTATGGGTATTAGCAATGATTTGGCTTTCAGATGTTTTCAGATACTTTGGAACTTTCTACAAATAGTTGCCTAAGTGACAAAAAAGGGTTAGTGAAAAAAAAATTAATGTTCTAAAATTATATCCACTATAAAAGATTCAGTGATAATTTGCCGGCAGCAAAATAACCGGGGGGTGACAAGCAACTTTCCTGATTGATACAGCAGGAGTGGGAGCCGTTTATTGTAGGACAGGAGGGGTATATATACATTCCACACAGCTTATCTTAATTAACATAAACTAGATACAGCAGTCAACCAATAAGGAATCTCCACACTTAATGGCTCGCTGGCGTTACTTCACAAACCACTCCCTCTGCAAAATGCCAGGCGCCATCCTGACTTGTTTATAGACCCTAACAATAATTGTACTAGGCTTTTTAAAAAGAGCAGCGTACTCAATGTATTTAAAGATAATGAAAATAAGACTGATTTGTTTTTCTTTACAGTAGACATGAAAATAATGTTTACGATTTTTGTGAATCTTAAATACAGCACCAAAGCTTGTTTAAAACATTTCTAAAAAACAGCTTTATTGAGATACAATTCACATCCCATCAATTCATCTGTTAGTAGTGTACAATTCACTGGATTTTATTGTATTCTTATTTTATTGCAACCATTACCACTGTCAATTTTAGAATAGTTTCATCACCTCTACTAGACAACCTGAACCCCCTCGTCATCACCACCCCTACTCTATCAGCCTCTGGCAGCCACTGATCCACTTTCTGTCTATAGATTTGCCCATTCTGGATATTTCATATAAATGGAACCATATGCTAGATCTTCTTTTGTGTCTGGCTCTTTCAATTACAATGTATTCACGATACATCCACAGTATAGCATGTATCATTCCTTTTAATGGCTGAATAATATTCCATTCTATGGATACATAACATTTTGTTTATTCATTCATCAGCTTATAGACATTTGGGTTTTCAGGCAATAATTTGTTGAATTTTGTTGCCTTATATTTAGATTGTGCTTCTTAGTTTGCAAAAGGCAAGTGATATGTGAACCTATGGTCCTCAAAAAGCATAAGATTTTGCCTTCCCACCTGTGTGAGACTGGCTTACATGGGTCTCCAGAAAAGATTATGTTGGGGATAAGAATATGAACACTGTGCATAGCTCTATTAGGTATCATAAACATATAAAAACAAATAGCACCATGGTGTTTTATGGGCTTCCTCTGCCTCCAGTTGGCATATTTCGTTTGTGGCATCTTATTATTTTTTCATAAGCTGACACATTTCTCTTGTAGGACCTCCCCCACTCCCAATTTGGCACATTTCCTTGGGTAGGCATTTTTTCCAGTAAGCACATTTTTACAAGGACGGTATGAGCAAAATACATTTGCCTACATTGCTTGTAGAAATGTAGAACAGTTTTGATGGAAAGCTTTTTGAGGCTTTTTTTAAAATTTAAATTTGATTTATGGGGGGCTGGGGTTGTGGCTCAGTGATAGAGCACTTGCCTAGCATGTGTGAGACACTGGGTTTGATCCTCAGCACCACATGAAAATAAGTAAATAAGATAAAGATATTAAAATTTTTTATTTATAGGCCAGTACTTACAATGTTGTGGATTAAATGAAAAAAAATAAGAAAAGAGTTGTTTAGTAAAAGAGACTGCCTTAAGATAGAACCCTTGGTTGTCAGGGATGCCAGTGGAGCAATCAATATGTGACGGTTAGGGTGTGGCACATGCTGGACATAAAGGGTGGATTACCAGGAGGCTGAGGCAAAGAAGATAGGGAAAACATGCCAAGGCCAAGAGCAGTTTTTCACCTCTTCTTGTTAATCTGGTAATTCATGTTTTCTGGGTTCACTATTTTTATGTTCAGGAGTAATTCCTACTTTGTTCAGTCATCTGTTAGTCCCTTAAGGGTTATGAAAACATGAAGTCACTTTTTCTGAGGTGGAGATGATAAGTATAAATTGATTTGAACAAAAGTACTGGTAGTTATCATTTGCTTTGTTTATAAGAAATGTGTTCCTGGAAGCTCACTCCTGTTCTGTGTTCCATTTGTGTGTTTTTGTCTTTGTTTGCAAAGCCTTTTTCTTATAAAAAGATTAATGACAGTGTGTGTGGAATTGTCAAAGCTGGCTTAAGGGCCTTTAGAAATTAGGTATTTTAGCTGTGTATGGTGGTGAACATCTGTAATCCCAGGTACTCAGGAGGCTGAGGCAGGAGGGTTGCAAGTTCAAGACCAGTCTGGGCAACTGAGTGAGACCCTGTCTCAAAATGAAATTTAATAGAAAGGCTGGGGGTACAGCTTAGTGGTAAAGCACTTGCTTAGCATGTGCTAGGTTCTGGGTTCAACCCCTGGTACTGAAAACAAACAAACAAAAAGGAATCAGGTAATTTTCTAAATGTATATGTATGACCCTTTACCTAAGTTGGTATATCCATGATCTTTTCTAAACTTTATATTATGTTTGGTTTTTACATAGTCTTATTGTAGCATATCTTTTTCATATGATGGAGTTCATGTCCATTATTTGGGCATATACTATTTTCATGTATTGGGAATCGAATCAAGGGCCTTGCACATACTAGGCAAGTGCTGTACCACTGAGCCACATAGCAAGTCCTCTTTTTTTGTATGTGATGGAGGCTTGCTATGTTGCCCAGGCTGGCCTGCAATGCATGGGGCCCAAGTGGTCCTCCTGCATAAGCCTCCTGAGTAGCTGGGATTTCAGATGTGTGCCTAGCTCTGGGCATATAGTATTTAATTGAGTTAAGGACTCCTAACTTGCTGATTCATTTCCTGTTGATAAACATTTCAGATTGGTTCCAGCATTTTATTAGAAAAACGCTGATTCAAACATCTCAACATGGTGTTTTTGTTCCTTTGAATGTTTCCTTAAGCTAGATTTCCAGGAGTTGGATTATTAGGTTGAAAGGTATGAACACTTTTATGACTGGTCATTCTGCCAGATTGTTTGAAAGAAGGGGCGAGTCAGTTCCTAATGACGTTAACTGTGCTAAGGTGCTTGCTTTGCCTAGTCTTTCTTGGGTCATTAATATTTTTCTTCCTGTTCTGTTAGCAAGAGCGAAAGGAGCCCTTTATGATTGTGCTTTATCTTGCTTTTCTTTTCATTGCCACAGAGTGAAACTTTATACCCTCAAATGTTGATTTACTCGTGTGTAGACTACCCAGGTCTAGGGTCTTCATCGGCACTTAAACATGGCAAGGGAGAGATCTACTTGCCCAAAGCCCATTATCTAAATCACCTAAACCTGGGATTTACTACCCAGGGTGGTAAACATTTTTGGCTCTGAGGCTATTGTGGTGTGAGAGCAGCCATAGATGATTTGTAAATGAATGAGCATGGTTATGTGTCAATAAAACTTTATTTATGACCACTGACATTTAATGTCTAATTTTCTGGATTGTTTGACGTTTTCCAACTATTTGAAATGTAAAAACTATTCTTAGTTCAAGGGCCAAACAAAAACGGGGGAACTGTATTTGGTGGTGGGCTGGGCCATAGGTTGCTGAATCCTGGTCTAAACAAGAACCAGCACATGGTGAAGGACAGCAAGGTTACTGCTTGTCTATTCACCAGCATAAATATTCC